TATAATGGAATATATATAAATATAATGTAAATAAATAAATTCTATTATATTAACCTCTGGAGTAATATTATTGCAATATTATTCATATTAAATTTATTAAATAATACGAAGTGTCCAGCTTACTTAATTATTTTAATATTTATTATTATTATTCGTATAGATAAGTATACTTAAGTATACCTCAAATCCCCAAATTTGTATTATTATTTATTAAAAATATATATGGTGTCTAGTTTATCAAATTATTCTTTATAGTACATACATATGCAGTTAAACTCGACTTTTTCTTCCAGTGCAATGTCACAGAGCTTGATAATTGCCCACCACCAAATACTAGTTAGCACCTACTTCGCTCACTTGCGTGCGCTCTCTCCACCTTGTTCTTTCTCACTCTCACTCGCACAGCGTTCGCTCTCTTTTCGTAGCACGCTTTCAAGATGGAGGCGCTCAGCGCATGCCAACTCGCTCACACTTGTGCGAGTGCAAGCGAGCTGGCAATATGCACTGGGCGTTGCCATTTGCTGGCACCGGAAAAAATGTCGTGTGCGATACGTGCGTGTGTGTGTGCCTCAGCTGGTGGGCGTGGCCAGCTGATTTGGCGCTCCTGGCTGCAAAATTTCAGATAAATTGTTGGAAAAACGAGCTATAATTGCCATCATTATGGAGTGTTGAGCCAGTTCTGCAGCAGACTGGGTCTGCGTCAGGGTCTGGGTGTGGGTCTGGGTCTGGGTCTGGGTCTGGTTCGGGTCTGGGGGCCTCGACTTCATAATCAACTTGGGCGGCGGCTCTGTCTTTGTCTGCTCCGGTTAGCCTGGCACATCATTAGAGCAGCAATTAAGGAGGCAGTTAGTTGACTCGCCTTGACTGACATTCATGATTCACGGGCTTGAAATTCCAGTTAAATCCACGCTTTAAGTCCATGAAAATCGATAATGTCCCCTCGAGTTTGGCTCATTGATATTCAATTGTTATGGCCAATCAAATCGCTGGTCGCACAATAAGTGATATAAATGATTCCCATCATCATTTCGCATTGACTTTTTATAACTTGCTTGTCCGACTTTATCATACCAACAGCTAATGTGCACATAATGCATTTTTTATTAAAGCTACTTGTAAGGGATACAAACAAGTAAATTGCTTACCGGGTTTCCTATTTCCTATTTTTATGTGTCATTTATAGATTTTCGTATTTGATTGATCGATGTGGACGTGTGAGAGCTTTTTAAGATGATACTATGAAACGATTGTGGAACAGTAAAAGTTTATGTTTGAAAGAAATTTGATTGAATTTCCCTTGAGCAACTTCTTCTAAGTCCAACTCCTCACACATCTTTCATGCCCCTATTACACATTGTTTAGAAACAGTTACAAGTCTCCAAATGCAATTCAACTTCTCATCTCTCTTAACTGCTATCAAACCGACTTTTCTGGCCAACTCAGCTCAACTCTTTGTCCTATCCCCCACTTTTGTTGTTCATCTAATGTCTGCGCCTTAATTTGAACTATTCACCTATGCCAAAATAAACAACGAACGATGCAGCTGCCACAAGAGCCAAAGAAACTTCAGTTGAAAACAATTCACATACATCTATACATATTTATTGTATTGCAAGAGTTGTTTGTGAGAGTGTGTGTGTGTATGGGCAAGAACTATATCATACCAATGTATGAGGGACAGCAAGAAAACTGTTGGCTAACAAGAAACGTGCTAAAGTGTATTTTCTTTGGCCACGTACTTGGCCAACACGATTCCGAAATGGAACCCAAAAACTAGCTCCAAATTAGTGCGATGACTGCAACGTGGATTGCGACTGATTGCTGTTGTTCTAGCTGCGCTTGTTTTTCTCCACTCCGGCTGCCATTGTTGTTGTTGTTGTTAGCCCTTTCCCTATTTTATTTTCATTATACGATATTTATCTACTCATCCACGTGCATTTAACTAACATTTACAGTCGGCAATAGGGGAGTTGGCTGGCTGGATGGCTGGCTGCTGGCCAGCACTATGATTGCTGTTGTCCCACAATAGTTGATGTTATATAACAAACAAGAGGTAGAATGGGAGCAAAGGAGAGAGATAGACAAGGAGACAGATACAGCAGCTCACTGGGGTTACATACCATATATATAAGGCTCGGTCTTTGTTTTAGCGCTTGATTTATTTCCGATATGAGAAGGAATGTCAATTTGAGTGACGTTTTTCTATCTCAAGGTGCAATTTCCCTCTCTCGTAAGACCCATTGAAACTGAAGTAAATTAACAGATCTCTAATCAGGCATTATATAGCAAATATGAAGAAAATTGTCGCATATGCTGCAGCAATTTAGCCTGTGGCCGTTGAGTCGAGCAGAGCTGGTGCAGAGCGAAAAGAGCGGGGGTCGTATGAAAGACCACCCCCTGGCCAAGCTTCGCAGCCAACCCTCGTCAATCGTATCACTGCACAATTGACAAAAAACTTCTGAGATCATTAGTGTAGCCGGGCGTTGTTCGATCTCTTAAGGGTTGGCCTACATTTAAGGGTTACATAAGCTCTGCTGGGGGTTGGCACTCTTTGAAAGTCACTTTAAAGCCAAACGATTTGTTTGGCCAACAAATTTGACAAGAATTTGTAAACATTTTCGAAAACAATGCGCAGTATCGCGATGTCGATTAATCACGCGCCTCATTGATGATGCCCCACCCACTGCCCACCACTCACCGCCCTCAGCCCACATCCCAGAGTCGACGCCCACATCAATTGAGCACAACATGCAATTGATAATTAAACAAATATTTATGTACAAATAATTGGCATTAAATTGCGTTATCAATAAATAATTTTTACAACTCAGCGCTGATATAAGCTGTCACCGCTGAGATACAGACACAGTTGCAATTGCAGTTGCAGTTGCAGTTGCAGTTGCACTTGCAGTTGCAGATACAGATACACATTGCAGCTACATTTGCTGCTGCATATTTAAGCATTGGCTAATTATGTTGACCGAGTTGCGTTCACTCACAGTCAATCTATAGGCAGATACAATAAAAAATAATTATCTGCCTGCAGTTCATTTTGTTTTCTCTCTTTTTATTTATTTATTTTCTTTCCCCTTGCCTTTTTTTTACCATTTACAATGCAAACTGAGGCGCAACTTTGATTAATGGAATTTTATTGAGTGTAGAGATAAACAAAGTTGTATCGAAGTTGCATGGGCTATTTTTTATAGAACAGCGTTTTTAAATTGTGCTTAAAATAGATATAGTAAATTGTTCAATTTTAGCTCAAATTTCAAGTCCAGAAAAGAGTTTTTGTAAGCTGATTTAAAAAATAAAATTTTTAAGTGAAGAATATAAAAATGTATATTAAATCTGACTTTGTCTGTTTGAACTGTCTTCTTGAACAATTACTCCCATTATTATATACCATATACCATTAGCAATATTTTAAGTTTTATGTTCTATATCATATCTTCTGCTATTTATAGACTTCCGTTTTCTTCAGATTTTGATTAACTAACTCTTTCAAGATTATCCAGATATCTTTTATACCACACTCCTCTTCCGCTGCTCACATATCACTATATATATTTTATCTTTAGCATTACATATTATATCAATATAGACTTTGGATGTGCGCATATCTCAACAAAAAAATTGAAGACGAACCATGACAATAATAAAGTAAATTTCATTTATTGACATTAAATTTTAATTCACTTTCAACATTGAAAAAAACCTTTAACGTATGCGCATTTGTCTGGTGTGTGTATGTGTTTTTTTTTTTTTTTTTTTTTCAACTTCCCCTTCCCAAAACATTCTCGATAAAGTTTATAATTGAGTTGTGTGTTTTTATTATTAAGTGAGCGAATTGATTTGCTTGTTGTTGTTGCTGGGGGCAAACGAATTAAAAACTGATAAATGAGTTTTATTGAATATTATTTATTTATGAATATGTATTATATATGATTGTGTATATCGCGCAGGACAGTTGCCCACAGGTATTACGAAATTATGAGATTTATTTCATTTGAGTTTATTGATAATGAAGCCAAAGCCAAAGCCAAACAAAATTCGGGTGTGAATTAAACCACGAGAATGATAAGCCATTCGACGTAAAGCAACGGCTGATTTACAGAGGAAATCGAAAGGGTAAGTGGTATGGGGTTTGTGGCATGAGATGGCTAAGCGGTTACAAATTAGTGCCAATCTACCTAGGGGCCTGTCCTGGCATGGATTAAAAACAGTTTTTAGCAACAGCTGTAAAGTGGGGGTCTACGAAATGGGACTCTGTATAGGCCCCATGTGAATATGTATCACTGTATGGGTGTATGTACGTAGGTATAAATACATGAATGAAAAGGTATATGAATGAGCTAGAATATATCAATGAAAAAGCATGAATTTATAATGAATTGAATGTATGAATGAGTGCGAAAGAAGCTATTCATACAAACATCATATGAATAAGTATATGAATGTATGAATATATGATAGTACAACTGAATGAAAGTATCAGATAGTATG